CGAAATTTGACTCTAAAATATATATACAAATAAAATAAAGTGACAGCAAATGCAAAATTTACAACTTTTCTTGTAAAATATAAAACACGAAGAGAGAGAGAGAGAGAGAGAGAGAGAGACTGTTTGGACACAACAAAACTAAATGCATTGAGTTTAGACTTATCTCCACGACATTGGAGGCAACGATTAGATTACTTAAAAAATTGTCTTTAAATTGGACGTGAGTTTGAGGCCAATCAATGCAAATGGCATTCAGTGGAGAATTTGTTTGAAAGGTTTAGTGGTTTGAGACTTTGATTTCTAATCTTTACAAAAAATTAATGGAAATAATTTTCTCAGAAGAAAACAGAACTAAAATAGACTTCAATTCATTTGATGTAATGTTTATATGATTTGCTGGATTCAAGTCAAGCAATGTATGTAACATTTGAGGCCTTATTTTCTATACGAAGTCTATTTTGAATGCAATAGTGAGTGAGAGATGTGCCGCTCGGGACTCACTGTTTCCCCAAATGTTACGCCGCTTTGTTTCCTGCGGCTCAACACAACTTTGATATATTATTTCTTGCTTTGAGAGACAAAAATACAGACATTTGTCTAAGACTTAGGCCTCACATATAGATGTTTCGCATACTTATTGAAATTAGAAATTTAAAACTGTTTTCTACTTTCTTAGCATTTGATTGGTTTTCATTTATTCCTCACTATTATTATTATTGCATTTAATTTATAATAAAATGTAATATGAATTTCACAGTAAACTTAATTGTTTGGTTTGATTTTAAGAAAGCGTTGAACTTTTGCTGTAAAACTATTATTTCAAAAGTGGTGTCAAAGAGTGTTGGGGTCAGTGAGCCTGTGGTCAGTCGCGACAGAGTTATAAAAACCGTTAGTTTTATTGCACTTTAAGAGTGACTTCCGTTATATATATGACAAACTGTGGACCCGTTTTCCACTTCTTGTCTCCGCAAAAGTGTTGCCAATTCTTAGAAAAGTTCTAAAAAAGTATAAATAAATAAATAAAAGACTAATAAATAAATTTTGTTTATAAAACAGGTTAAGCATAGAAATAGAGGAGAGTATACTATAGAAGCAAAATGTGTGATATGGGAACGTATTACCCGAATAACGCCGGGTATGTCTCGGGACCGCCGGCTCACGACCAATACAACGGTGAAGCACACCATCACGTGATGAACGCCTGTCACGAGAACGGCAGAGGACCGCCGCCTCTACACCCTTACCATCAGATGCCATACAACGGCCAACAAACACAACAACCGACTTATCCGCGTTTCCCACCGTTTGATCGCTTAGAGGTCAAGCCTTGTCCCGACGGTACAAATCCACAAGAGCCTAGTCCTTACTACAACTGCGGCACCACTACCGCACCGGCACCTCATCAGCCGCCTGCCCAACAGCCACCGCCGACACACCAGCAGCCAGTTATTCCCAATCAGTACGACAACTGCGGCGGCAGGGGATCTATTACACCACCGCATGAATCACAACAATACCCGAGTTGTAAAATGCAGCAACAAATGCATCCCATCAATGATGGCCTCACTCCCGGCCTACCAAACCTGATGACCGGTTCTCCTCCATCACCACATCATCCACAACACCATCAAATGTATCAGTCGAGCGGTCCGGTGGCCAGTCCTCAGCAAAATTACAATTCGGCCCTCTCTTCGCCTCTCTATCCGTGGATGAAATCTCAATTCGGTTTGTTTTTATTTATTATAATTTCAATTAATTAATTGTTTATGTGTCAATTCAAGTCTCTCTCTCTCTCTCTCTCTCTCTCTCTCTTCGTGTTTTATATTTTACAAGAAAAGTTGTAAATTTTGCATTTGCTGTCACTTTATTTTATTTGTATATATATTTTAGAGTCAAATTTCGAAAAGAGTACTTTCCATAGTTTTGCCACTCTTTTATTGACCACTAATAAAAACTTTTAAATTAGAAGCACTTTTGCCTCAAATTAGTTGTAACTACAAAGAAAGTAGTTTATTATTTGCCAGTTTTTTGATTAACAATTTGCTAGTTTTCATTAATTTTATTTAACAATTAATTCCTTATTCTATGGTTTTTTATTGTTAATAATAAACTAATTTATTCCTCATTAAATATAACATTGATTATCCTCTTTTATCCTTATTTAATATAAACAATATTTTTAGTGTTAACATTAGGATAGAGTTAGTGATAATAAATTTTGTATAATTTTGTCAAGTATTAACTTATGTAGTTTTTCAGGCAAATATATTGAAAGTAAATTTAAATAAAAATGTAATTTAATTTATTATTTTATCGAAATATGAGAGAAACCCAAAAACCCATATTGAATACTACAGTATAAACATTGACTGCCTTTAAGTGCCTATTGCTTAACATTACATTAAATTTTTAATGAATACGTTTAAAATGCTATCAAAATAAAAACTAATAAATCATTTTCGAGAAGAAAAGATAATTTTAATTTGAATCCATGTTTCGAGAAGTTTTCATTTCATTTTCATATCTCATAAGTTTATGAAAAAATAAAAAATGGCTTAAATATAGCAAAAATGGTGTAGAATTGTATAGGAGTGGGGCTTATCAGTCATAATCAGTTTGTAAACAGAGTTTAAATTGCAATTTATTTTTATTGTAGATTTAATTACTTTGATTTATAACAACAATGTTATAAAATAAAACATAAACAGAAGCCAATACATGAGCACTCAATTCGGCAGCGAATACATTAAATTAGACTTTATTTCTTATAATATAAATAATTTATTTAATTTTTATTGATATATTATACTTAGCGATCGTTTTATGTTTATTACAATTATAGTGAAGAAATTGTAATAAAAAAATGTAAAAATCAATGAAATATACTGTAGTTTTCAGTCAATAAACGCTTTGTCTGTTTTTGCCTAATAATGAGGAAAATAATGAGAAAAAGAAAACTTATTCAATGAAATGCAAAAAATTAGACAAATTATCAAATGAAATGCGTTTTTAATTTGATTTTAATAAGTATTAAATAATAAATACTTTCAGTCAATAAAATATTTTATTTTCCTCTAAATGAAAGCTAATAATTAACTCATCTTTATTGTGATTTTTTCGGTTACAAAACATTTATGTGAATATAATTCTAGATCATTGAGCGCTCGTAAATCATTATCTTTTTTAATATCCAAATAATAAATACATAAATGAAAGAATAAAACTCTTAATTTGTATTTCTCTTAATTTTTTGAATAATTCATATAATTATATGAATGAAACATAAGTCGCCTTTAGAGTCACTTCTCATTTCAAATTACTTATATTTTTAGTATCAATTAAAAAATAATTAGATTTTTTCTCTTCAAACATATCATATGTTAATTATGTTAATCAAAATCCTATTCACAGCTCGTAAGAGAATATAAAAATTTTCATAAAATAAATTAATGCAAGTCTTGGCTATAAATTTATGTAATCATGATTTCAAAGAAAGTAACGATACAACTACTGTACTGTCAGCCCAAGTCTTTTCTCAGAGCTCTTTTAGTAGAAAATAAGTTACAGAAGTCTTGTAAAAGTCGACTCATAGTCGACTGACAGTCGGAATAAATGGATTCAATGTTTAAATTTTTATATTCACGGGTTTTTGTCATTATTTTTTGCCGTTTCATGGCTTTCACAGAATAGCGTTTTAAAATTTTAAAGATTTTTAAATTCAGGGATTAATATATGATTTGTCAGTAAATCATTGAACAGACAGTAATTCAACGTTTTATTCAAAAATACGTTTTCTCGATATATATTAAACTTTTTCATGTTTTAAATTAGAGGCGAAACTCCTTTTTCTCAAAACGAATAAATTTTGTTTCAAATTATTTTTTAGAAATAATATTTGAAATTTATTTCTTCTGAAATGTTATTCGAAGACTATTTGTATGAAATAAATATATATTTTAATCTTTTAATTGCATTTTGAATTAAAATTTCTGTTCAATTTAATAGTGTTAGGAAATATAGCGATAAATAGATGTTTAAATTTTGTAATGAGTTTTGTAACAATGTATTGATTTATATGTAGTTTTTGTGTAAAAACAGTAGTGAGAGACGAGTTATAATCAAAATAATGTGTAATTAACTTAAATATGGAGGCAATACATGAAAAAATTTCATTAACATAGCGTTGGCTATAGATTGGCTTTTCTTATCTCAATTCAATGGCAGAATTCGTGAACAAAATTTTAATATTAATTTTATATAATATATGCGATAACTTGTCGTTTCAACTGTCAGAATGAAAAATAGCTGAAAGACTGCACTTATATTATATGCAACTAATCATAAATGATAGAATAAAATGTATTTCATATACACAGCCCTTAGACTAGTTGTTAAGAGCGATAATCTTTGGCAAAAAAGTTATTAACAAAACTTATTGAGCTATTAATCAATGGTTATGAACGGGCGCTGTGTTAGAGACCAATGCATGGGATGCATGGGTTGTGTGCTGTCTATGCGTTCAACGCATTCAATGTCACAAACGCTGGAATATATGAGTATAGAGAAGGAGTGCGACATCTGATGGCAGTGTTAGACATAAAATCAATACAATTCTGGTGAGAGGGGATCCTTAGGCAACACCTTTGGGTTACATAAGCAGTGCCTCTGGTTTGGCGCATGTGTTGTCATTGGAGAGGAGCTTAATATGCAAACCAATGGCGCGCCTCTACTGAGCGCCGCATCTAAATTACTCCATAAGCTCTGCCCCCTCTCTCCCCCTCTAAGCCATCGCTCTATGCGTTGAATAAAACTTATTTTTCATGTTTTAATGAATAATGCAATCACTTTTGCCAGTAGTTGTGCGCCAGTATTGTAGAGTGAGTGCTGAGCACTGCGTGAATGTATTCAATGATCATTGCCTGCCATCCCTACCATCCCTGACATCACTGCCATCCCTACCATTCAGAGATCGCACCACCGATTCTGTTATTAAACATGCATTCCTTATGACTTTTTTATCACAATTCCTCCATTCACTCAATGGTGACGTTATTTGCATTCAAATTCATTATATTTATGTTTTTATTGTTTAAATTGCTTTTTAATTATTATTATTAAGTATTCAATTTGTTTGTCGTTTCTGTTATCGCAAATTCTATAGTATTATTGTATTGTTATATTAATACTATAATTGCTATATTGTTACTAATTTTGTGTTTATTTATTATTATTATTTAATATTCTAATCATAATTAGTTACATTGTTTTACATAGTCTTTATTTGTCATATACAGTAATATTCGTTATGTTTTACATTACATTATATAATTTGAAAAGAATTAGTGGATTTGGTTTTTCTTAAATTAATTTTTGCAATTTTGAAATTAATTTAAATAACTCTATCATTGGGTCCGGGATTTCACTTTATTTCTACTTTTCTATTAAAACCATCTCTCAGTTTGCGATCGAATTGAAACGAAAAACTAATAAAAAAGTTTATTTTTCGGTTCGTTTTATTCGCGAATCCAATTAAATGAGAAAAATAAAGTGATTCTCTGTAGTGATAGAAGCGATGGTATGAAAACACTGCCAGAATTGCCAGAACTGCTATAGTATTGGTCTCACTATTCTTATTGCAATGAAAGTGAGAGAAAACATTAGAAAAAGTAAAGTTTGTTTCATTTCCTCAGGGATTTGAGTCAATTTGATTGCACACATACTCTTATGAGTTGGTTGAGCGCTCACATCCATTGCATCCAATGCCTCCATTGGCATCACTGCCGACTTAATCCGTTGCAGACAGTGATAGACTGACATTTGCAGCGCTAGTTCTCGTTCAAGAGCTAAGATAAAGGCGCTCTACGTGTTTGTCCTTTTGAAAAGGCATTCGCTTTAATTAAACCTTTATATAAGTTATACGAATATATATATCAGAAGAAAAAGTTTTGCTTTCTTTTCTTCTCTCGCTCTAAGATTAATGTTTGTTTGCAACGATTGGTCCCTCTATTAAGCTCTCAATTTGAAACTCCCGATGCGTTGAATACCAAAAATGTAAATCAAAAATATAATGAAACGAAAGAAATTCTGCACAAAATTTTTTGTTACTTTAGCTTTGATTTTCATTTTCTCGGTTAACATTCATTTCTAACTCATCCAAACATTTCAATGAATTTTATTTTCACGAATCATTTACTCTGATATCACAGAAATGCGACGGTTTGTGTGTCAGACCAGAGCACAGGTATTGATTGCATAACAAATAATTCATATGAATTGCACGACTTCTGGAATAACAGAAATTGTATGAAATAGTGAGGAATGGATAGGAATGAAGAGTACTGTATATCGAGATGAGTGCAGAAATAGAGTATATTTGAAGCAATCGTATAATTCCAGTCATTCCAACAATTCATATGTGTTTCTAGTCTTCCATTCACTCGAAAGCTATACAAAAAGTAATCAGTGAAGAAGTTTTCTCTTCAAACCAAATGGTCTGTAAGAGAATTCAGTGCAATATATAGTACGGTATATACAGTTCTGTACACATAATATACTAAAAGTAAAATAAAGTGAACATAGAGTCGGTCGCACTTTTAGTACAATTAAATATTGCATTTTCTTTGCTTTATATTCAATCGACTATACATTTCTCTCTTTCGTTCTTTCATTTGTTATTTTTGCCTTCAATTTAATATTCATTTCACGTCAATAGCCATACGATATCCTATGATATGATATTTCTATTTATACCAATAATTTAGAAAATCTTAGGCAAAGCATTAGTTGTGAAAATAAGAGGGACTTATATTGAGCGACACGTCTATGAATACATTAACTATAATTGCGTCCAAAAATGATTTGCACTCAAAAAACATTGCGAAACTCTATTTGAAGAGACTCTAAGACTTGACACATTAAACAGTTATTTATTGTATTCTCTTATATTCTCTATCCATTATTTATTTGTCTTGAATGACAATATTTATGTAAATAATATAATAATAAATACTGTATACATATATATAGAGCGCAAAAGAGGCCGACAGACGTACACCCGATACCAAACACTTGAATTGGAGAAAGAATTTCATTTCAATCGTTACTTAACCCGAAGAAGGCGTATAGAAATAGCACATGCATTGTGTCTCACAGAAAGACAAATAAAGATATGGTTTCAAAACCGTAGAATGAAATGGAAAAAGGAGAATAAGAACAAGATTGACCAAGGTATGCCTATGGGACCCGGCGGTGGACAATGTGAACTCACACCACATCTTGATAACGGCCACAGAGGCAGTGTCTAAGGCTCTATTCCCCCACTCCTCACACACACTCGTCCATCACTTAAACCACATATTCGTATTGTATATAATAATATTGCAAAATAATAATAATATTGTAGTGAAAATGTTGTACAAAAAATGATATTTGATATAATATTTGATTGAAAAAGTGAATTAATCGTATGTCTGAAGACAACAACAAAACAGTGACTGAATGTTTGAAAGACTGAAGTGACCGATAACTGGAGTCCAAAATGAGTGCTTCTCTACCCGACTGTACCGTAAAGTGTCATTGACTTTGTCGGACATTGGATGACATTAACGGTCTCATCTCCTCCTATGTGTCACACATAAGATATATTAACAATAACTCTTCTCTTCACTCTTCCAACTGTTTGACTGTTTTTAAAAAACTCTGTTTAAAGATAGAGAGAGTGAGAGAGAATGTGAGTGAGAGATAGAGTGAGGGATAGTTTTATTGGTCGTGCAATTAAAGGTTGTAAAAAGGTTTTACAAAGAAATACTTGACTGAACTTTTACAATACAACCACCAAAAAAAGTTTTACAATTTCTAGGGTTTAGGACAAACACAATTGTATTTGCATTCTTTGCTATCTATACATATAATGCACTTTTTCTCGTTATTTTTTGGTTATTCTTTAGCTTAAGATAGTTTGAAAAACAGTCAAAGACTGACCATAGCGTACAATACCAGTACTATCGGAGCCGATAGTAAAATAAAGTTTCGACAAACATCTAACAATCAATTCGGTGTAGTTTTCAATTACTTGAGTGACAGTACAGTCCTTTTGTGCATATATACAGTATATATGATATATAAAAATATAAATATATATGATATCTTATTTAATATTTGCCGTACAATCAAGTCTGTATTATTTACATAAGAAATAACACACTTGGAAAAACAGTTGAATGTTTTTTATTTATATTATATATTAAACTCAAAAAAATTATTTGAAACAGTGATTGACTGGTGGTTGTCATCAATGAATATTCAGACAAAATTCTGCTCAAAACATATTCTTCTCATTTTTTGAAAGCACTGTAATGTATAAGATATGTATGAATATTAATGTATTAATTAACAGCATTATTATTATTATTTCTAATTGAATCTATGTAATCTATGGTCTTATTTATTACAGTTTATAAAAAAATGAGTGTCAAAACTATGTGAACCAAAAGTTTGTTGTTTTTAACTTTATTAGCGATGCTATTATGTATAATAATAATTACAATTATAATTCATTTAAAAACATTCAATGAATTTTGATTGCCATTAGTAACTGAAACATTGATATTAAGTAATATCGAGTCCTATGTATTGTCTGAGTTCTCCGCCGAAAACCCAACCGATATATAGTCCTCTTAAAAGTGAGTTTAGGCTTAAAGTAAGTGCACTGTAGAGTGCAATGACAGTACTGTTATGCCCACCATTGCTAACACTGGTATATTGCCTAATATGTGATGTCTTGCCAACACATTTCTGACAATTCTGACCCTATATTAATGTTAGATAAGGTAACCAAAAAGTGCTACCATTGCTATCATTTTGACTATTGTTTTGTCGTTTATGTAATAACGGCTTCACATATAAAAGTTTTGCCCTTTCTTTTAAAAACAGCATTTTGTAGTATGAGTTGAATGAGTGGAATGAGTCAATGAGTTGGGCGGAGATGTTATGATTCTATAAGTGTCACGAAATTGAATACCAATTTAATAATATATTTATTTAGCAAAACAAATCTCACCGATTCTCTAGCGCTAACTGTTTAGCCCCTTAACCCCCTCCCTCTCATCCCATGTCTCACCTCATTATACGGTACTTTCAATTATGATTTAAAGTAAACATAATATATAAGACTATTGTTAAATAATGTGAAGGGAAAGCAATACGAAAGCAGTGATAAAAAGCAATAATTTAGAGGTAATGAGACAACTGTAGATGAAGTGATCCATTGATTGTATTATTTCATGTCTGAAGCACTTCGCAGACTAATAACAAACTATATATCAAATTATATGTTAGTCTAAACATCTAGTAATATATGTTTCAATTCATAGCAGAGCATAAATTTTGACACATTTTGACAAAGATTTTCATAAACATTACAGCGAAACAAGTTTTCTAAAAGTTTTTAAAACTTGTAATACATTTAAAGTAATTAAAGCGCTATAACTCTGAGTTAATGGTTAGCATTAATGTAATTAATGGCTAGAAATACATTTGGTTTCATTAAAAATGACAAATTATTGGTTCGACGAAAAGTGAATGAAATACCGGTTGAGTAGAGCGTCAAAAAGAGCGCTACAAAAGCGTAACCGTTATTAAAACCTTTCGCTCATATATTTTTTGGTTGTTGTCGTCGTTGGTGTGGATGTGTTGTCGGCTTCGACACAACACTTGCTATAATTATATGGATTTATCGCTGAAAGTAAGTCACCATTTATTACGCGAATACCACTTCTCAGCTAAACTCATATCCGTTAGAAATATTTATCGCATTAATAATTGTCATTATTGTCATTAAACTTTATCAATACTGGACTCCCGGCTTACTATCAGTGTTTGAGCTATTATTGCGCTCTTGTACTCTCTCTCAGCCTCTTATGGTCTATCACTCATCCATTTCTGTCATCTTATTTCCATAAATCAATTCTAATAAAGATTTTCATTTATAATACACCATAACTTATCACTACTTATTACTAGTTCTAAGCATTTAATAAAAGCCATTCAATCAATCATTTGATGCATTCATTCTTTACGACAACTTTTGAAATTAATTCCCTCAAAGTCTTTAAAAAATTACTTTAATTTTTTTAAATTCACAGTTTCTATAAAATTTGATAGCATTTACAGCAGATAAACAATATAGCTATTTATATCACATATTTAATTGAACAACATTTGCACCATATAATTGCCAGAATTTTAGTTTAATCAATATCATTTCTTTAGATTCAAATAATAATGAATATCTATTGCAATGTTTTAAATTTACACTTCAAGTAATATCTATACAATAATATCTGCGGTATATTATGTTACTAATAGGAAATTTAGTGGATTACTTAAATTATATCAAGAATATATACAATAAAAATCAATTACTTGTTTTAGAAAAAATCAATTTCAAAAAGAAAATTGTTTTCGTTTCAAAATTGAGTTTATTTTTCTCATTTCAATTCATCGTATATTTAAAGAGATATAAAGTGCGACAAAGAGTAATGTTTGTAACATTAAGATCGCAATCATTTCGGAGTGTAATTCAGTCGTAAACCAAATAAATACATAACGAAATCAAAATTAAGTTTTATTTTAGCGAACGATCGTTGCATTTGAAGTCCATTGACAGCAATCAAAACAGTTATATTGAAATGTGTGACAGAATTAGAGACCTGTTGATAACCCAGCAGTCAAGACGATCGTCATTACTATCACAATGTCATCATCTATTGCTCTACCACTCTATTACTCCCGTCCCTCACATACAATGGCCTCACCATTAGATCGCCTCACAAATGGATATCAGTGTCTCTTCTGTGTCTTATAATAACGCAAAATGATGTTTATTTTGTATTAATATTTAAAACAAGTGCATTCTTCGGGTATGTATTTTATTGAATGCCATTCTATTGAGTATTTAAGTTGTATTTCGTTTAAATTTTATTTCATTTCTATTTCTATGTTTACATATTATATAGTGTTTTGTGTGAACGAAGAGAAGACCGTTAGAGAAGAAGTTGTTTTTGGCGAATACAGGCGTTGCAGACGGAAAGTGCAGAGAATGGAAGACATGGGAAGACCGGCGCAAATGTTGAACTAAAAGCAAAGTAAGTTTAGATGAAATATGGCTGAAAACGAGCGTTGGCTGAGTTAAGGCACACAATCTTTGCGATGCGGCATAAATATCTCATGTGTTCACTCACTATAGTCTCGCAAATTAATGTCAAAAGTAATACAATTTCAGTTGTTTTCTACTCAGACTCTGACTCTAATAATTGTAGAATTCATTTATTCAAAGAATCTTTCGTTGCGAGTGTAGCAAAAACAACACCAGAAAGAGAGAGAGAGAGAGAGAGAGAGAGAGAGTAAGAACTTAAACAAATTTAATTATATCATCGGATTAATGACTGCTCGCGTATCAAAGGCAACGATTTATTCTCAAGCAATTTTAAGACTCATATATATTTTAAATTAAACATCAAATAAACATAAGTTATGTCTAACTCTCAGAACTTAATAATCAAATTAAATATTGAGTTAAAGATACTGGGAATCATATATCAAACTATATATAAACTTTACTTATATATTTTATTTTAAAATTAAATTTTGCAAAACAACAGTGTTTTTGGAAAACAGAAAATTTATGCTTTAATTAAAAAAGATAAGATTAGAGTGTATTTGTATTGAGAGCAGGCTTTTAATGAAATTATAGCCATAACTCTTGAGATAAGTTAAACAAAAGTGATGTTTTTTAGATTGTTTCCAAATACAACATATATATCACTAGTATTCACACAGTTATCGTTTATCTACAACCATATTCAATACAAGAGCACAGGTGGCCGTATATGCCTTCTTAACCATCCCTTTCTAAACCTATTATTCTTTACTCTAAATGAACACAAGTTTTATATTTCAATGTATCTACTGATGGACGACATATATCTAAGAAATATGGCCACAAAAGTGGCAAATCAGACAATAATATATTTTTGAGAGAGTCTTAAAGTATAATTGCATGTCTTTATTGTGATAATAATATTTAAATAAGACCTATGGTTGCGTTACTCGTATTACTGTCCAACATATCATAAGTCATATTATGATAAATAAGTGAATTATTATAAGACTTGAAGTGTGCGTTGACTGCAGATAGAAGTGCCATATATTGTGCGAAATAATAGTGTCTTCGCATTAATTGTATGATTTGATTGATGTGTTTGAGTGTTGGAATTAAAGAAGTGTATGTATGGCTCATCTCAGGTCCCAAATGTCACATCTATTTTCATCAGTGAATCGCAAAGATATAGCGTTTCCATTATTATAACAAACGATTGGGCACTAGTGTCTCACTGCAAACCATAATTCATAGCACAAACATTTATTATCTGGTGATCGCAAATCATTAATGCACTGAAATCTATATGCCATACATTGCGCTCAAAACCTTATCACTGATTGTATTATATATTCTGAATTACATTAGATTCAGTGTAACGTCTCTACAGATTAGACCCAATATATAGTGTTTATAATATAATGCATAATATATTCCTTAATATATCTCATGTGTTCCCGAAAACTAAGACGAATCATAGCATTAGTATATATAGAATACAGAGTTATTCAGGTCTTACGCGAAAGTCAGACAAAAAAAGAAAAGCATATAATTTATGAGAGAAACACAACTGTACAACAAAACTGCTTTTTTGTTCAAAAAAGTTACGCTTTCTTTCTTCCTCTCCATAGTATAAGTCTTTCCTCTCTCTCTCTCTCTCTCTCTCTCTCTCTCTCTCTCTCGACTTTTATCTTAAAACAAAGTTTATAAAAAATTATGATAACCTTTAAAAGTTTATCCAATATAAAGTTGTGTGTTTCTCTCTCTCTCTCTCTCTCTCTCTCTCTCTCTCTCGTACTGTTTGGTCGTTATAAAAATTCACATAAAATGTTAAAAAGGCTTTTTTTGGTGAATCTGCTGCAAAAATGTGATTTATTGGTATATATTGGCAGTCAGTTATGTAAGGGGTCCTAACTTTTCACTTTTTGGTCATACAGTTCACTACAATGACTATATGTATGGCTCTTATTTTGGTTTAATGTTTTGTCTACTATTTCTCACGCCTTACTATCAGTGCTCTAAATGCAATGCTTTCGATCAAAGCTATACTCTATATATAAACCATATCTCACTATATATAAAATGTAGAGACAATTATTGAAGCGTAAAAATTATGCGATTTAAACACAAACTTATATATTATATGTTTGCTCTCTCT